GTGGCTAGGGGAGTCATGTGACTGATGAAAGTGAGTGACGTCGAATTGGCCACACCCACCGTGGTTTTGTGGCTCCTGGTGTTTTCTTTTCTGTGGGAAACGGATCCAAATGGCTCTTTGAGTGTTTAAGGTTGCAGACCCCTGGTTTAAGAGAATGGAAGATCCTCCCCACCCCACCCCACGGTCTTGTAAGAACCACCGAAGATTTGGCAGAGATCCCTCGAGTTTGAGAGATTTACTCTTTTGTTGAGTCTTCCCTGGTGAAAGATGATCATACTGAGGTTGGAGAAATGATCGCGAGTCCATTGGCTGGAATTTATTGCTTAAAGGAAAGGAGCAAAGTGCTGTCACCACTTACCCGTGCTTTTAACCGATCCAATGTCTCAATTTTTCAGTTGTTTTATAAGAGTTCTTTGGTGAAGATTTAGAGGTCTGGAGATAGTTCTTAAATCTTTGCTTTCCCCCTTTTAAAAACAGTTCAGCCAGACGCAAAAAAAAAATATAGACCCTTGTCAACCATAGTTCTTACTTATAAGGGAACATAATGCTCTTTGAAGAGCAATGTACACATTTCACTCCAAAGTCTTAACATTGTCTCCCTTGCATTGTAGTTTGGTCAGTTGCAAACGAGAATTCTTTTCATCCATCCACCCACATCAACCCATAACTGTCCATCACATATTGTTCATTGTGGGCAGGCCAAGGCATGTGATGTTGTGACTCAGGCCCAAGTAGGTAGTAATCGACGCAAACAGTTCCAAAACAAATAGGCTTTTATTAGAACAGCTGAGAATGAACTCATTCTCAGCGTCGTCCAAACTAAATTAAAACAAACTTCATAACACAAATTCTTCAGTCTGATCACCAACCTTGGTATAATTAGGCAAACTGCCAAAGGCTTCTCTTGGCAAAAGTTCAGAAGCAGAAGATACCGACAAGAGATAGGTGCAGCAAGACTATCAACGTTGTTTTCTAACAAAGAGCCCATGAGCTGTTGCTGGTCTTTTAAGACTTATGGGAGGGGCCAATCATCTCCTGGCCTTACTCCTGAGTCGTCCCTTTTGCTTTAGGTGCTCTTGCCTTCTGGCAGCTCTGTGGATGCGTGCAGTAGGAACAGGCTCCTTCTGTTCCTCTTCTTCTCCGCTGTCCGACTCAGGGCTCTGGAGTCTGTGCATCACTCCCAGATGGCCCTGGCCCCATCTCTGCCTCCAATGCAGAGCCCTCATCCGGGCCTTCTCCAGCCTCCAGGACTGGCCCATGTTCTTCCTCAGCCTCATCACTGTCCGACTCCACTGCCAGCTCTGCAGGCTGTTGGCGAACCACAACATGTGAAGATACACCATACCAACATCCACCTAGGTCCCATTTGCTGATGGAAGCATTTTTTAAATTATTTTAACAACCCTGTAAATCCCTTGCATCTGAGTGGAATCAGGGCAATTGAATGGAGCTGAGCGTTTGCTAGCCGGATGCCCTTCCTGACACCAATGCAGGGTTCACAGCAGGTATTTTTCACGTTGTGCTCAGAGAGAGAAATATCTGCCGCTACCTAGGATCGAACACACAGCCTCCTGATTGTGGGGTAAGAGCTCCACCTCTAGGCCACCACATCGCTCCAGCTGATGGAAGCAGTGACCAAGGTAAAACAGATCCAGGTTTGTGATGCGATGTTCACCGGGAGGCACACCTCTCCTATCAGAGGTTGGTGCCCGTCAGCTTTAGCATCCTCCTGTATCACACAATCAAAACCGATGCGCCAGGACAGAGATGGAAATAATCTGAACTTGTGTGTGCTTTTTCCTTAGGTGTGTGTACCAATATGGCTTCAAAGTCCTAGTGAGATTTGGTTCTCACCCCATAAAGGATTTGGAATAAATCAGAGGTGCTATTGAGCAGGTTCTGACCAGTTCTGGCGAACTGGTAGCGGAAATTTTGAGTAGTTCAGAGAACCGGTAAATACCACCTCTGACTGGCCCCACCCCCATCTATTCTCTACCTGCCGAGTCCCAGCTGATCGGGAGGAAATGGGGATTTTGCAGTAGCCTTCCCCTGCCACGCCCACCAAGCCACGCCCAGCATGCCATGCCACACCCACAGAACCGGTAGAAAAAAAATTTGAATCCCACCACTGGAATAAATACTTGATTGTTCTTAACTACTGTTCAGGAGCTTGTGCTAAAGATAAGGAGAAGAATGTAACCACAGGTACTCCTCTTCTTACAACCGTTCACTTAGTGACTGTTGGATGTTACAACAGCACGGAAGAAGTGGCTTACGACTAGTCCTCACACATACGACTCCCCAAAGTCATATGATCAAAATTCAGGTGCTTGGCAACTGGCATGTGGTCCTCAACTTACGACCTCAATTGAGACCAACATTTAAGACAAATCTGTTAAGCGAGTTTGGCCCCACCCGTTTTACGACTCTTCTCGCCACGTTTCTTCCGTGAATCGCTGCCATTCTTCAATTAGTAACCCGGTTGTTAAGCGAATGAATCACTGCAGTTGTTCAATTAAGTCAAACCGTTATTAAGTGAATCTGGCTTCCCCATTGACTTTGCTTGTCAGAATATCGCAAAAGGGGCATCACCTGACCCCGGGATACTGCAACCGTCATAAATGTGAGTCAGTTGTCAAGTGTCCAAATGTACATCATGTGACCATGGGGAAGCTGCAACAGTTGTAAATGTGAAAAACAGGCGTAAGTCGCCATTTTCGATGCCGTTTGAACAGTCCCTAAATGAACTATTGTATTGTGGTCCGCCAGCAGCCTGCGGAGCTGGCAGCGGAGTCGGACAGTGAGAAGGCTGGGGAGGAACATGGGCCAGTCCTGGAGTCTGGGGAAGGCCCGGATGAGGACTCTGCGTCAGAGGCAGAGATGGGGCCAGGGTCATCTGGGAGTGATGCACAGACTCCAGAGCCCCGAGTCGGGCAGCGGAGAGGCAGAGGAACAGGAGGAGCCTGTTCCTAGTACACACATGCACAGAGGTGCCAGAAGGCAAGAGCAGCTAAAACAAAAGGGACGACTCAGGAGTAAGGCCAGGAGATGATTGGCCCCTCCCATAAGGCTTAAAAAAGAAACAAAGGCACTTGGGCCTTTTGTAGGGAAGCAACATTGCTAACTCTGTTTCCAGTCGGCATTTCTTGTTTGTTTCTGAACTCTGTGAGGCTTTGCCAAGGCCGGCCTTTGGCAGGGTGTCAAAGAAGATAAAGGTTGGTGATTATCCCGAAGGACTTCTTCCAAAGGACTTTTTTTGCAACTAATTGGGACTCAGCTGGGAATGAACGTAATTCTCAGCTGTTACAATAAAATAGGGTTTTTTTTGGACTAATTGTAATGATACAGTAAGCCTAGGTCACAACATGTTGTAAGTCGAGGACTACATGTACTTACAACAATTGCCTTTCTCGGGGTCATGGGATCACCAACCTTCCCAGCCAGCTTCTGATGAACAAAGTCAAAGGAGGGGGGGGACTGGATTCACTTAACAACTGTGGTGATTTGCTTAACAACCAGGGCCAAAAAGGGTAGTAAAATCAGGCGTGACTCACTTAAACCACCTCGCTTAAGAACCCAAAATTCTGTTTGTGCTCGTAAGTTGAGGATTAACCATATTGGTTCAAGGCTGACCCAGCCTTCCGAAGTCGGTCAAAGGAGGACCCAGATTGTTGAAGGCGAGAGGTTGACTCTAAACCGCTTAGAGAGGGCTGGAAAGCATTGTGAAGCAGTATACAATAGTGGCCAAAATTGTGGAAACCTTTTGGGAAAATGTATTTTCTAAAACTAGCTCATAACACCACTTTTTTTGGTGGGGGGAGTAGTACCATAAAATTATACATCAATGGAAAGATAATTTAATCAAGAATGTAATGCAATAACCTTTATGAAGGATTTGCTATTAGAATAGCCGTTACAGTATAAAGAAGAAGTGAAAAACATAGAAAAAACGAGACATACAAAAATAATCACCATAGGAAAAACGAGAGATACAAAAATTATCACCAGTTTAGTTCATACTTCGTTGGGTAACCTTTAGCATGAATGACGGCCTTACAACGTCTTCCCATGGAGCGAGCCAAGTCTTTGAGTTCTGCAGCTGTTATCATGTGAAACCAAGATTGAATGATGGCTTCTATGAACTGGGTTTTATTGCTGGATCGCTTCTGACTAACCAATTTCTTTAGCTGGCTCTATAGATTTTCAATTGGGTGAAGGTCTGGGCTATTCCCAGGCCATTCCAGCAGTGGAATACGATTATCTTGAAACGCCAAAAAAAAAAAAAAGTGGTGTTATTAGCCATCAAACCTCAAAAATATTTATTAATTAATTCAATTTATACACCGCCCTTCTTCCCAGGGGGACTCAGGGCAGTGGACAGCCAAACTTAAAACACATATAGTACAAAAGTTAAGAAAAAAACTAAAATAAATTAAATCATCGGCATTTCCAATTTAAAATCCCAGATCTGCAAAATTGAAAAGTTCCCAATTTAAAACCCAGAATCAATAAAATCGAAAGTTTAAAAAACCCCATTAAAACCATTTAAGCTAGGTCAGCTTGTTGGAATAAATAAGTCTTCGGGGCCTTTCGGAAAGCGCGGAGATCCGGGATCAGTCGTATTCCAGGAGGTAGCTCCTGGAAATACACTTTTCCCAAAAGGTTTTCCACAATTTTGGCCACTACTGTATAGATCTAAGCGCTATTGCTAAGTGGGAAGAGAGGGAGGAAGGAAGGACCGTGATGGCACAGGGGTTAGAATACAATATTGCAGGCTAACTCTGCCGACTGCCAGCAGTTCAATCCTGACCGACTCAAGGTTGACTCAACCTTCCATCCTTCCTCGGTTATTAAAATGAGGACCCAGACTGTTGGGGGCAAATATGCTGACTCTGTAAACCGCTTAAAGAGGAATAACTAAACTTCATCCATGCACAATCAAAGTAACCTCACAGCTCTGCCCTATGCAGGGATCCCCACCATCACCATTAGCACAAAAATTGTCCAGAATGGCAACTTTATATATGAAAAACATTCTCAGCAAAGTTATATGCAATAACATTAGTACAAACCGATTTTAAGTATTTACAATGTGTTTTTGCGGGAGACCTGTTTGTTAAAAGAGATTCCACTGGTGCATTTTTGAGACCCAAAAGACTCCCAATTCTCTGGAAAGCGTTTCTAACCAGCATAACGAAGTCGATTTTGAAAGCGTTGGCGTCTGTTACAAATTTAACCGGGATTAATTGACCCAACTTCGGTGGAAGAGATTTTTAATGGACTCATCCCATGCCACTAACAGTCCTTCCTAAGAATCTGAAATTCATCACCCCCTGTTCCTTAAACAAATACGTTACAATACAAATACGTTAGTGAGCCTTGCCAACTCTGGCACAGATTGAGGGTTTGTAGCACAAATCATGCCACCTTAAATTGCCAACCTGTTTGGGTTCCTATGGACAAATCTCTGCAGCTATACAACTGGCACTTCAAACCTTGGAAGAATCTTCCCCATAGGCCAGGGGTCAGCAACCTGCAGCTCTGGAGCCGCATGTGGCTCTTTTTATCCCTCTGCTGAAGCTCCCTGTTGCTGGTCGGCTCCACTATTGATTGGGCTTTCGGTTAGGACAGGTAGAGGAAGAAGGATGCCGTGCTAGGAGGGGACTCAATGGTGGGGGAACCGACTTCGAGTCAGCAGAGGAAAAAGGAGGAGACTATGATGGAGGAACCGGACCTCCGGTGGGCTCCAGAATTGAACGAGGGCTTCTGGTTAGGACCTTTGTGGCTCTTTGAGTGTTTAAGGTTGCTGACCCCTGCCATAGGCGATGAATAATTTTGCCGAGCAGTCCCCATCCTCTTCACTGCCAAACAATCATGTGTGACAACAGGCATCTTAACTCACCGCTGACCTTCTGGGATCTTAAATTCTCTAGCAATAGATAACTCTTCTAACATATTCTGCCACTCTTTTATCATATTCCGCATTGAGTGGAGCTCAAGACCTGAGAGCAAAACGGGAAGATCACGCTGCGGCTCAAGTTGAGTTGACCACCTCAACTTCATCCTGGCCCAAAAGACCGTGCCTAGACGCCCTGATCCTGCTTAGTCAACGAAATTTTGAAAGTCTACGGAAAATCGAAATTCCTTGAACCTGCTCTCTAGCATTCAGCACTTACAGTTTTGCAAAGAGGATGGTCCAACTGTTAGATTAAGTCTTCTTGGACTTCTAACTTGCTTCTAGTGGTCAACCATACCTGTTAATCCAGGTTAGGAGTGTAACAGCGTAGATCAGGGATGTCCAAACATGGCCACTTTAAGACTTGTGGACTTCAACTCCCAGAATTCCCTAGCCAGTCATGCTGCCTGGGGAATTCTGGGAGTTGAAGTCCACAAGCCTTAAAATGGCCAAGATTGGACACCTCTGGTGTAGACTTATCCCAGAGACAAGAGGTATCGATTCTTCGTTCTCCACTAAATATTCTTCATTCTCCACTAAATATTTTTCGTTCTCCACTAAATATTCTTCGTTCCCCACTAAATATTCTTCATTCTCCACTAAATATTCTTCGTTCTCCACTAAATATTCTTCGTTCTCCACTAAATATTCAAGGATTTTCTTCTTTCTTTTGGGTGTCAGAGAGACAGCCTTGGAAAAAGGTTAGTGAACACAGTAAGGCAGAAGGGAAAGCCATTTTGATCCAGAAGGCAACCTTAAAAGTTGACAGGGAGAAAGAAAACATTTTGGCAGTGGATAAAACACCTTGCTTTGGTCGAATGCCGAGGTAGCCACGGTTAAAAATCAAACCAGGTTTGCTGGATTGGGGCACCTTGTGAAAGCTCCCCTCCCCTTAACTTTAGTGCCACTTTACCCTTGGAATTTAAAACTGTTGAATAGAAACGAAATGCACCAATGACTTCTCAACTTCCTTAAAAAAAAGAGAGAGAGAGAAAGCAAACAGATCCAGTGTGTTGGATATTCTAAGGCAGATTAATACAGAAGGTCAACCAACCCAGTCCTACATCTTCGTAGGTAATAAACAAAATAATACTGTCTCCGTTCAGAATTAAGACTATGAACCTGGGGGCTGAAAAAGTCATCCCTAAAAAATAGCCTGTGTTTTGGGGGAAGGAAAAAGACATTTTTTTCCATCACAGCAAATCATATGAAACCTTGTTGTAGAACAGGGAATATCTAAGCGTGGCAACTTTTAAGATCTGTGGACTTCAACTCCCAGAATTCCCCAGCCAGCCATGCATGCATGGACGGCTGGCTGGGGAGTTCTGGGAGTTGAGGTCCACAGATCTTAAAAGTTGCCAAGGTTAAATACTCCTGCTGTAGATCAGAGAAGGCTACGGCTGCTGTGGGAATTGCTAGAAGTTGCTTGCTTGCTTATCAGCCAGATAAGCTGGCAACTCCAATGCTTGCCCAAACAGGAAAATTAGAGAGAGAATTGCAGATTTAACTACACTCTATTCCCTCATTCCTCTTTTTCATCAATGGACAAGACAAGCGTTTTCACCAGTGGGATGTTCGAAAAGGGAGACGAGGCATAAGGTCAGAGTCTCCTCCATTTTTGGTTGGCTAAATTACGGAACTTCATTTGAAAACCGCTGTACGGTTTCCCCTTCCCAAGGCCTAAAGCGCCCATCCCAGATTTAGAACTCAGTAACTTTGGATCACCCCTCAAATGATTTTGGGGAGGGTTTCTCTTTTGGGCATCTTGTCGTATCTCAAACTCCCTTCCACTTGACAAAATAATTCAAAACACATTCAATGCCTTCCCTTTATGCTCTTTCTACTACTACCGTGTTTCCCCGAAAATAAGCCCGCTCCCGAAAATAAGCCCTCCCTGAATATATTTAAATGTATGCGTAGCCGGTCCCCACTATTTCCTCTGGTTAGGGAGACAGAGCTGGAAATCAGGTAAGACGGCAAGAGGTGCCCCGTCTTGCTCCACGCACCCCAAAATAATAAGACTTCCCTGAAAATAAGGCCAAGCGCTTATTTCGGGGTTCAAAAAAAATATAAGACAGGGTCTTATTTTCGGGGAAACACAGTAGTTGGGCAAGTCTTTCGATCGTGCCCATATTTTTCTGCAGGGGGGAAAATAAATCTTCAATTACCTACCCCATGAAAAGAAATAAGTGTTTTGCCACGCTGCACTTTCGGTTAATACTGATACGGTTGTTATCAGTACCGGAAAGCGTGAATTGGAAACCTTGTAAAATTCACTACGTTATTACAATTAACACCGTTTGGCCTACCAACCTATTTACATTTTAAATTAAAAACAAAAAAGGACTTTAAAAAAAAAAAGTAATCCAAATACATCTTTGCCAAAAAAAAAACAAAAAAAAAAACAATCCCAACAAAAAAGAGAGAAAAATAATTAGACTGCAGAATTCTACAAACGAAAGAAGAAGAACAGTAGAAAGAAAAAAAAAATTCAGTCTTCGGTCCCGGGAACCAGATCGAAAAGTCAGAAGAGTTGGCTTTTTTGTTGCGGTGTCGCTGTCTGTCTGTTGATGTTGTTATTGTTGTCTGTTGTTGCTTAGCAACCCGAAGAGATGCTCGCCACGCGGAACCCGGCCTGCCAAAGGGCAGATCGAAGCCTGCCTAAAGTAGACGAGAGCGATGAGAAAGGGATGGGTGTGTGTGTGTGCAGAAGTTCAGAAGTTGGCGATGTTACGTTCGTGGAATCGTAGAAGAGGCAGCTTCTTGCAACCTTGGGAGTGATTCCGCGGAGCTTTTTAATCGAAGCGATTTTTCTCCCGCCAAAAATTGAAGAGATACTCTCCTCGGCCTCCTGCCTTCCCCGGAGAGAGACTTGTGGGGTTGGCAACAGTCGCTTCTGAAGTGGAAGACGGCAATTTTGGCAGTTAAAAAAGCCGGGGTTTGACTTTGGCAACAAACAAAAAAAAAAAAAAAGAGTTTGTTTGTTCGTTTTAAATAAAACAAAAACCGACCACGAGCCCATTGCGCCCGCGTGCCTGTATAAATGGTTTAGAAAGGAGTAAAAAGAGACACGGTGTACACACACACGTCGACGATGGCACCCTGAAGGGAGGGGAAGGTATACCTGCCCTCTTGCTCTCGCCGCCGGGCCAAAATCCAAATGTCTCTGCCGTTTCATATCACAAAGGAGGATTTGTGTCTAAAGTCACCCTGTATAAAAAGACACGGCACAGCATGTTAAAGGAGGGGGGGGAGGGGAAGTTTGCGTTGGTGCGTACCTCCCTCCTCTGCTTTACCCAAATGACCGCATTTTTCAGAGTATAAGACGCACCAGAGTATAAGATGCACCTTAGTTTTTGGGGAGGAAAATAAGACAAAAGCTGATTGGCAGGTGGATCGGCCTCCCGGGAATACCCCCTATCAGCTGTTCCCAGAGGTGAATTTTAGCAACAGGTTCCTTAGTTGTGAGCTCCGTGCCTTGCTTTTTTTGTTTGCTTTTTTTTTCTGCCTCTGAAACTCTGTTTCAGAAAAAAAAAAAATCTGCCTCTGAAAGCCTCCGAAACAGAGCTTCAGGAAAAAAAAGCCTCTGAAGCTCTGTTTGGAGACTTTTTTTCTGAAGCTCTGTTTGGAGGCTTTTTTTCTGAAGCTCTGTTTGGGGGCTTCTTTTCTGAAGCTCTGTTTTGAGGCTTTTTTTCCTGAAGCTCTGTTTGGGGGCTTCTTTTCTGAAGCTATGTTTGGGGGCTTCTTTTCTGAAGCTCTGTTTGGAGGCTTCTTTTCTGAAGCTCTGTTTGGAGGCTTCTTTTCTGAAGCTCTGCTTGGAGGCTTTTTTTCCTGAAGCTCTGTTTGGAGGCTTTTTTTTTTTCTGAAGCTTTGTTTCTGATGCTTTTTTCAGCCTCTGAAACCTCTGTTTGAGAAGCTGGGCGGGGCTACATTCGGAGTATAAGACATACCCAGATTTTCACCCTCTTTTTTGGGGGAAAAAGGTACGTCTTATACTCCGAAAAATAGAGTAAACCAAACTCTTCTGGAATGAAAAAAGAGTTCAAGAGCTGTCGCCCAACAACGGCCAACAGACATAGCTCGCTTGGCCGATGGCCCAAGGAGGCTAAGGGTTCGGGTTTTTTTCCAGCATCTGCAGGATTTGCAAAGAATTTTGGTAAAACTTTGGCTGGGTTGACCCATTGAGTCAGGCCTTCCGAAATAGATTTGATTTTAAGTCTTAACGTTTTGTGTGAAAACTCAAGCGCCGCATTTTGTAAATTGCAAGAGTTCAATCGAGCCACTTCTTGCGGCGCTCTTTGAGCTCGGTCGCTTCCTTGCAGATGTTTTATTACCCAGCTAGGTAACACCATCAGTGCTAGAAGGAAGTGGGGTGTGTGGAGTGGAAAAGGAGGGGGGAGGAAGAGGAGGACTGTGGGATCTTTGGTACTCTCTGAGCTTGTTTTCTTGCAGATGTCTCATGACCCAGTTAGGTAACATCATCAGTGCTAGAAGGGACTTGTATATAAACAGAGAGCAACCCCCCGCCCTCTTTTTTTAGTACTGATGATGTTACCTAGTTGGGTCATGAAAAGTCTGCAAGAAGACAACCAAGCTTAGAGAGCACCAACGACCCCAAAATTCAACCCTGAGCTATAAATATTCTCTTCCGTTGATAACCTCTTTATTTGGGTATCTACGGTTAAGCAAACCAAGCCACATAGACCAATGTTTGAACCGAACCACGGTCTTTCCCTTGTTCCTTCCTTAGGCACTCCTAGAATTCTACTTCCCTTGGACTCAGAACACGAGGTGGGATTTTAATTAGCAATCTTGAATAGGAATAGTGGGTCCATCATGAATCTTCCCGGAAAAGCTGCATCCTTAATTAAGCTGAGCAATGCTTTGGATCTGATTTCCAAAAGGTATTTTGGAGAAGGGGAGACATGAATGCAGCAACTGTCTGCCACTTGTTAAAGCAGCTGCATCCCCTGCCTATTTTTTTTTTTTTTTTTTTTTTGAGAATTACAGAGAGGTCCTTCAGCAGAAACAGAGACACAAGCGCAGCATGCTCCAAAACACAATTTGGAAATCAAATCCGAAGTCCTACCCAACATTTACCCCCCAAAGAAACGAAATTGTGTTATCTGGTAACGTTGCTATGCTCTGGCATAGCTCTTCATCTATTTTTCTTGGGATGGGCAGGAGAAGACAGTCATTGCCCATTGGTCTAAGAAGATCCCCCCCTTACCTCCTCATCTGTGTGAATATAGTTCACGCCTTCTGGCTTCGTTGGAGTCTTGTAGCTGGGAAAGGAAGGCAATGTTTAGTTGGACCCCATCAGATAAAGAAAACAACTGTATCTCCTCCTTTGTAGGAAAAGGACAGGCAGAGCCAAGAGGGGGTGGAGTGAAGAGAGGAATCAGCCTAGAGTCCTTACGTTCCCACAAATAGTCTAAACCCAACCCCTTTTGAATTCTGTTAACTTGCATCTAGCGCCAATGTCGTGCTGGCCATTAGTTGATAGATTCTTATGTATAGATAGATCTGTACAGGGGTGAAATCTGGCAGGTTCTGACAGGTTCTGGAAAACCGGTAGCAGAAATTTTGAGCAGTTCGGAAAACTGGTAGCGGAAATTTTGAGCTGTTCAGAGAACTGGTAGCGGAAATTTTGAGCAGTTCAGAGAACCGTCAAATGCCATCTCTGGCTGACCCCAGAGTGGGGAAGGAATGGAAATTTTGCAATATCCTTCCCCCAGGAGTGGGGAGGAAATGGGGATTTTGTAGTATCCTTCCCCTGGAGTGGGGTGGGAATGGAGATTTTGCAGTATCCTTCCCCTGCCACGCCCACCAAGCCACGCCCACCAAGCAACACCACGCCCACCAAACTATGCCCACAGAATTGGTAGTAAAAAAAATTGGATTTCACCACTGGATCTGTACCTACAACCGCTTTATCATTTAGTAAAAAGTAACTCTTTGCAGTTTAATGAGGCATGGTTTCCCCTCTCCCAATAAGGATCAGTTGAATTCCATGACATAAACCAGAGGTATCCTTGGCAACTTTAAAACCTGTGGACTTCAACTCCCAGAATTCGCTAGCTTGGGAATTCTGGGAGTTGAAGTTCACAAGTCTTAAAGTTGCCAAGGTTGGACATCCCTGATCTAAACAATTCCTTTCAACTTTGGTTCTATTGTGTTAAAAATAATTGCAAAACTCCCTTTATTTATTTATTTAATTTATTGAATTTATTTATTGAATTTATTTATTGAATTTGACGGACTAAGGGAGGAAGGGGGTGAAGTTGAAGCCAAATGTGAGTCTACACATGAACAAAACATGTGTAGTCAAAGTAAAAATCGTATCAAAGATGTGTCAGAATATTCATGGCTGGGAAGACATAGTAACAAGTTCAGCCAATGAATAGGCATAGCAACTGGGTCAGCCAATGAGGACTAGTTGGAAACAGAAACTTAAGCTAGAAGTCTGGGCGTGGCTTAGCTGTGCTGAGCTCTGATTCTGTGTTGAGAACTAAACAAGTCTGGTCTTGTCTGTCTGCTGAATTGAAACTGAAAGTAGTCTGTCTGCTTGTGTTTTGCTTGTAACTGCTACCACGTTGGAAGAGTCTGCTGTTGGTATTGTACATTTATTCACGTGTTATTATGTATATAAAGAGAAGTTAATGAATCCTGCAGAATCAGTTATCTGTGTGTGCTTTCTGGATTTGATTTTTGCAACAAACTCGAACAAGATGTACATGAAATATGTAAAAATGTGCAGGACGTACATAACATATGCCAAGGACCTCCAGACGAATTTGCTGAATTTCAGATGTGGTCCGCCACATTTGAGATTCATTGAATTAACACTGAAATCAAGATTTCCTCCATGTGATTTTGGGGATTCTCCTGTGCTGAACCCAAAGTTGATTTTTTTTTTCAAGAGGCAACTGGACTTTCTGGTTTTTCTTTGAAGACGTTTCACTTCTCATCCGAGAAGCTTCTTCAGCTCTGACTGGATGGTGGGGAACGGAAGGATTTATACGCCTTGCAGTGAGCTGGTCATTTGCATCCTTTTTAGGGAGTTGTTGAGACCACTTGAAGGTTTATTTGCATCCTCAGGGTCACCTGAGTGGGTGTGGAGCCTTCTTGGAACTGCTGAAAGGACTGTGCTGTAGACTGGACATAGATGATGTCGCATCCCTCTCCCTCTGTTGAGAGAGGGCTGTTCAATTTTGTCATAGATGGCCTCTTTGATAAACCTCCAAGTAGCCTCAACGACGCTCTAAAAGGATGCAAATGACCAGCTGTCTGCAAGGAATATAAATCCTTCCATTCTCCACCATCCAGTCAGAGCTGAAGAAGCTTCTTGGATGAGAAGCGAAACGTCTTCAAAAGAAAAACCAGAAAGTCCAATTGCCTCTTGAAAAAAAAAAAAAAAAAAGCATTCTTGACGTGGATGATGGAGAATCTTCACAGACTTCTGTGCTGAAGTTACAAAGACAATCCGAAAAGGGAAATCCTTGCAATTTCAGTTTTTCCCAAGAGAAGACGGAAGGTCACAGAGAACCACCAGCTTCGACGCCTGAGTCAGCTGAATAATTTTAAAAAAAGAACGGTTATCGCTTTTCGCTGGGGTTGGCATGCTTTTTCCTCTTCCTGGCGTGTTATTTCCTGTTAGGGCTAATTCTGAACGCATCTGTTGCTTTGGATTTGGTACTTAAAGCTGCTGGTTCAACAGACACGTCTCATTTCCTTTCAGCCAACAGAGAGATCCAAGGAAAGAGGAAATTTTCTTGCCCAATGCCAGTAAATTCAGATTGATTGGTTGGTTGGTTGATTGAACCTGGCCTAACACTGCTAAAGTGACATGGTCAAGATTTTTTCTCGGCTCTCTATCATCCTCCCTAAACTGGCTGTTTAGGTTGATTGATTGATTGATTGATTGATTCATTCGTTCATTCATTCATTCATTCATTCATTCATTCTTTTGCAAGGGCCAACATTTAAATCTGACCCAGTGCTGAAATCCACATTTTTTTACTACCGGTTCTGTGGGCGTGGCTAGGTGGGCGTGGCAGGGGAAGGATACTGCAAAATCCCCATTCCCACTCCACTACATGGGAAGGATACTGCAAAATCCCCATTCCCTTCCCACTCCTGGGGGAAGGATATTGCAATATCCGCATTTCCCACCCCACTCCAGGGGAAGGATACTGCAAAATCTCCATTCCCTTCCCACTCCTGGGGGAAGGATATTGCAATATCCGCATTCCCACCCCACTCCAGGGGAGGATACTGCAAAATCTCCATTCCCTTCCCACTCCTGGGGGAAGGATACTGCAAAATCTCCATTCCCTTCCCACTCCTGGGGGAAGGATATTGCAAAATCCCCATTCCCTCCCCACTCCTGGGGGAAGGATACTGCAAAATCCCCATTCCCACCCACTCTGGGACCATCCAGAGGTGGTATTTGCTGGTTCTCCGAACTGCTCAAAATTTCCGCTACCGGTTCTCCAGAACCTCTCAGAACCTGCTGGATTTCACCCCGTTCTAACCCAACATTGCTAAAATGACATAAAAACCCTGGTCAAGATTTTTTTCTCGGCTCTCTGTCATCCTTCCTAAACTCACTTTTTTTCATTCATTCACTCATTCATTCATTCATTCATTCATTCATTCATTCATTCATTCTTTTGCAAGGGCCAACATTTAAACCTGTCCCAATTCTGCGAAAGTGACATAAAAACCCTGGTCAAGAATTGTTCTCGTTTCTCTAAAACGCAGGATTAATGACATCCAATCCTGTTTCTTTTGGCACCTTTCCAGACTGAATTTCTTTCTCTAAAGGTTGCATTTCTAGTCACTTCCAGTACAGCATCCAGTGCTTTTCTACCAAAGGAGGATGGAAAAAAGAAAAAAAAGAAAAAAAAACTTGTTCAGGAAGGGAAGATTTCCGAGCGACACAGTCAACGTTTTTGGAGTGCTTCTGTTTATAACATGATTTGCCAATGGCCATGTTTCTTCGTTTTCCTTCTTATTATGAGTAGCACAAAAGAAATATTATACCCTGCCATGTGCACACGTATTTCCTTTTTGTTCACAAGCCCAGCGCTCGACAATTATGTTGTACCTGTTTCCATTTTGTTTGTTGTGGACAAAGAAACCGTTTCTGTAGGCACAGCAGATTCCCACTGTTGTAAGGGACAGAACAGCCAGCACCACCAGTACTCCGATCACGATCCCAACAATATTAAGGTCGTCTGCAGAAGGAAAAGGAGCATCAGATGACATGTCCCCGTTTCCTAAGTGGCCTACTACGCCAGAGGATTCTGCCTTCAGGGTCCCGACTACCAAGCGGAGCATCTATCGCCAATAGAAAATCTTAGCCACCCAAAGTCATTGGATATGTGATGAGTGGGAAAGGAAAGAAGGGAAGGGTAGAGGGAAGGGGAGGGAAGGAAGGGGGAAATGAAATGGAGGGGAGGGGAAGGGAGGAGAAGGGAAGGGTAGGGGAGGGGAGGGAAAGAAAGGAAAGGAGGCAGAGAGGGAAAAAGAAAGAAAGAAAGAAAGAAAGAAAGAAAGAAAGAAAGAAAGAGAAAGAGAGAGAGAGAGAGAAAGAAAGAAAGAAGGGGAGGGAGGGAGGGAAGAAGGAAAGAGAAAGAAGGAAGGAAAGAAAGAAAGAAAGGGGAGGGAGGGAGGTAAGGAGGAAAGAAAGAAAAAAGAAAGAATAAAAGAACGTCAGAAAGAGAAAAAGGAAGGAAGGAAGGAAGGAAGGAAAGGGGAGGGAGGGAGATAAGGAGGAAAGAAAGAAAAAAGAAAGAGAATAAAAGAAAGTCAGAAAGAGAAAAAGGAAGGAACAAAGGAAGGAAGGAAGGAAGGAAGGAAAGAAAGAAAGGAAGGAAAGGAGGGAGGGAGGGAGGGAGGGAAGAAGGAAAGAAAAAGAAGGAAGGGAGGAAAGAAAGGGGAGGGAGGGAGGTAAGGAGGAAAGAAAGAAAAAAGAAAGAATAAAAGAAAGTCAGAAAGAGAAAAAGGAAGGAACGAAGGAAGGAAGGAAAGAAAGGGGAGGGAGGTAAGGAGGAAAGAATGAAAAAAGAAAGAGAATAAAAGAAAGTCAAAAAGAGAAAAAGGAAGGAAGGAAGGAAAGGAAGGAAGGAAGGAGGAAAGAAAGAAAGAAAGAAAGAAAGAAAGAAAGAAAGAAAGAAAGAAAGGTAAATAAATAAATAAATTTGGGCTGTTTACTATAGGCTTGTTCAGCCATTCCTTGATTGGGGTATTATTTACTTGATTGTTGGTCTGATATTAATCTTGGAATTAGTCTATGCCCATCTGGGTGATGACTGTTGGTGGGGAGGTGTTTTGGTCTTTGTGTTCCCTTTTTCGCTTGCTGACTGTCCCTTCTGCATCCTATGTAGGTATTGTTTCTGTCCCCGTGGCTAATTTGTCAGAGTGCCAGGCCTCTAGAAAATTCCCTAGCATTTTTTCTTTTTCTTTTTGGACTTGGCTTGTATCTACGATGATCACTTTCCCAATTGTAACTCTGGCTACGTTTGTCCATACATTGGGGAAACTAAAAAGCTTTCCATCATGTCTTCTGAATGCTAGCTGGTGTTCGTGGACGCAGTTCGTCTCATATAATGGAGTTTTCTCTTACGCAGAGATGAGGCTGAGATAGGGAAGAGGAAGGAGAGTCGAAATGAAGGCGAGCGCGACAAGGCAGGAGAAGGCCCTCGCATAACGACTGCAACCTGGGCTACCAAAACGGTCGTTGCTTGGTCACGCGAGGGACTGCTTCCCGGAGGGACGGAAATTCCAAACCCAATTCAGGTCGTACAGGTCGAGGACTACCGGTGAGCTGAACAGGACCCTGCCCGCCTCACTCTCTGACGCGAGAACGTTGCCCCTGCTACTCACAAACTTCCATCTCTATCCCCTCGCACCAGGCTTCTCCCACGACGTTCATGGCTCTGCAGCTGTAGCGACCGGTGTCTCCTTTGTGGACTTCTTCGAAGGCCTGTGCAGAGGAGAATCAGGGTGAGTGTTTCCTGCGCTTGGGAGAATTCGAGGTCCCTAACGGAAGCCCCCACCTGCAGGAAACCCTTGCCGTTCTGGATCACGGCTTGTGGGGAAGGAAGCGTGTGTTGCATGTTTGCAAGCTTCCTGCCATTACAAAGAGAAAAAAAAGAAGGAAGGAAGGAAGGGAAGCCCTGTTTGTAGAAAAAAGAAACAAAGGAAAGAACAGTTGAAGTCGAGATTTCTTTCTTCTTTTTTTCTTTATTGCCATGCTAGGTTTCCATATGTTTCCTACCAAGGGAGCTACGTCTATTTTTGATTCCGTGCTGTACGGAATTGAAAGCCTATTAAAATTGGGCTTTTGATTCACTGGACAGAATCATAGATATCAGCCAGTCCTGTCCATAATATTCTTCCCCGTCGGAATTGCAAAAGTTCTTTTATCACAGACGTGGTATATAACATAACAGTTTATCAATAAAAGGAAAGGGAAAGGTTCCCCTCGCACATACGTGCTAGTCGTTCCTGACTCTAGGGGGCGGTGCTCATCTCCATTTCAAAGCCGAAGAGCCAGCACTGTCCGAAGACGTCTCCGTGGTCATGTGGCCGGCATGACTCAACGCCAAAGGCACACGGAACGCTGTTCCCTTCCCACCAAAGGTGGTCCCTATTTTTTCTACTTGCATTTTTTACGTGCTTTCAAACTGCTAGGTTGGCAGAAGCTGGGACAAGTAACGGGAGCTCACCCCATTACGCAGCACTAGGGATTCGAACCGCTGAACTGCCAACCTTTCGATCGACAAGCTCAGCATCTTAGCCACTGAGCCACCGCGTCCCTTGAGCCACCGCATCCCTAGTTTATCAATAGAGGAGACTATTAGTAGCTCAGGGTTGAAATGAGGGGTGTTTGGCGGTCTCTGGACTTGGTGGTTTTCTTGCAGGCGTTTTGCTGTCTGAATAGGTAACATCATCAATGTTACCTATTCTAGAAGGGGGTGGAGGTGTGGAGTGGAGGAGAAGGAGGAGGAAGAGAAGGAGGAGGAAGAGGACAAAGAGAAGGAGGACAAGAAGGATAACAATGACTGTGGGATCCTTGGTGCTTTCTTGTTTTCTCGCAGACGTTTTATGACCCAACTAGGTAACATCATCAGTCCTAGAAGGGGATGGGTTTGCTGTCTTTTTATATACTAGTGGTTTACCCTGTCAGTGTTGGTGGGAGAGGATAGGCAGAGCAAGTATATAAACAGAGAGCAAGCCCCACTCCCTTCTAGCACGGATGACGCTACCTAAAGTGAAACTTTTGCAAGAAAACAAAGTTCAGAGGACTTTACAGTCATTCTCCTCCTCCTCCTCCTCTCTACACACCCCATTCCTTTCTAGCGCTGATCTCGCTACCTAGTCGGGCAATGAAACGTCTGCAAGGAAAAAATCAAGCTCAGAGAGCGCCAAAGGACCCCACATTAACAAAAACAAAAACAAAAAAACAACAACAACATGTATACTCTTCCCCCTGAATAGGGTGAATTGAAAAGTCATCTATATAAAGTGTTAATGCCACTTTATAAGGCCTTGGTAAGGCCACACTTGGAATCCTGCATTCAGCTTTGGTCGCCACGATGTAAAAAAAGATGTGGAGACTCTAGAAAGAGTGCAGAGAAGAGCAACAAAGAGGATTAGGGGACTGGAGGCTAAAACATATGAAGAACGGTTGCAAGAACTGGGTATGTCTAGTTTAATGAAAAGAAGGACCAGGGGAGACAGGATAGCAGTCTTCCAATATCTCAGGGGCTGCCCCAAAGAAGGAGTCAAGCTATTCTCCAAAGCACCCGAGGGCAGGACAAGAAGCGATGATGGATGGAAACAAATTAAGAAGAGAAGCAACTTAGAACTAAGGAGAAATTTCCTGACAATTAGAACAATTAACCAGTGGAACAACTTGCCTCCAGAAGTTGTGAATGCTCCAACAATGGAAATTTTTAAGAAGATGTTGGATAACCATTTGTCTGAAGTGGTGTAGGGTTTCCTGCCTAACCAGGGGGTTGGACTAGAAGACTTCCAAGCTCTCTTCAGAGTTATCCTTCCTTCCTTCCTTCCTTCCTTCCTTCCTTCCCCATCACTGGGACCACCTCCAAGGTCCCTTCCAACTCTTTTATCCTTCCTTCCTTCCTTCCTTCCCTCCCTCCCTCCCCATCACTGGGACCACCTCCAAGGTACCTTCCAACTCTTTTATCCTTCCTTCCTTCCTTCCTTCCTTCCTTCCTTCCTTCCTTCCTTCCTTCCTTCCTTCCTTCCTTCCTTCCTTCCTTCCTTCCTTCCTTCCTTCCTTCCTTCCCCATCACTGGGACCACCTCTGTTATTCTATTTCTATTTCTATGTTTTCCAAATCCTTCTCCAAGTTAAGGACATTCCCCCCCAACCTGCTTCCCCTTGTCCTCACCCCCGACTTACCAACATGCCAGTTTTGGGGTTCACTGTAAAGGAAGAATTCTGGAACTTAGTGCTGGCTTTGGAATCCAAGGGCAACGTCTCATCGTTACGGTACCAGCTGTAGGTAGGCTCTGGAAATCCTTCCTTTTCTTGGCAGTACAGGGTGGCTGGTTTCCCCACGGGGACGGAAGGGGGCACCCGACATTTGGGGGCCACCGGCTTCACTGCAGGGAAAATGGTAGAAGATGAGGTGCATCAGACGGAACGTGCCTGCATCAGCCACTCTCTGGCTTAGTGTTCTTTGGCGTGGAACGGAGAGGATTACTGGTCATCCTCGCTTTAATGTCCAGTCACGCAGCGACCATTCGGCGTTACGACAGAGCCCAAAATGGCTGCTGCACGAGAGGTCATAAAAACTGGGTCCTGTCATGTAGATGCTTCATGTTCTGACCCAGCTCCCCAAACACGACAAACCCTCTGAAGTGAACTCAAAGATTCCTTTATTAGGAGCGCCAGCAGCCCCGGGGAAAAGTTTCTCTCTCACCGCAGGCTAACAAGTCCGTCTGGCTGGGAGATGGATAGTTGTCCGCCACATCTATTCATCTTGCCCCCTGCCTTTTATCCCCAGAGCTAGGGTGGGGCTTCGCTAGCAGAGGTAGCTCTTCCGTCCCAAGGACCGGCCCATAGATTTCCACTGCTCTCCTCTCCTCTGCCTTCTGTGCATCCACATGTCAGGCACGGGACCCAGCTGTTCCTCCTCCTCCTCCTCATCAGCCACCTCCAGACCTGGTAACTGCTGACTCTCCATATGAGGGCTGACAGATGGCCCGGGCTCTGCCTCTGTCTCTCTCTCTTCCAGCTCCATTCCCTCTTCCCCCTCGGAGCTCTCAGGTTGCCTTGATGCTGACCCTCACTCCCACGCCTCCTCCTCCTCCTCTGATTCAGCTGTTAGGAGGGGCCAGCGCCCGACAGGCCACAACACTTCAACTTACAACTATTGTGACACAGGACAGAAATTCTAGGCTCCTTTACAGTCATAACTCAAGGACCACTGTACTTCTGAGCCAGCTTTGGAAAAGATCATTTGGGAAAGATCAGAAAATCAACAGTATTAATACATGCTGTGGAATATGTAGAAGCAGATTTGTGCCTTTCATTTCTTGGGAGCTCCATCAAAGCTGCGGTATCTCACGCCGAGCGATGAACTAGAGATCATATCGAGATGGCCCTCAAAGCACGTGATCTAGTGGATTTATCAACTGCGAGGTGTGAGCGTCGGCCCCCAGGTTGCTAAGAAGCATGCTCCTCCCACGTTCAGCCTGCCAGACTTATCTGCACATCCCGTTAAACCATGGTTTAATGCAAGAGATAGAAGCAGCGAGAAATGGGTGTCAGCCTTGCAATTAACATGCTACATTCTCCTATCTCCTCTATACAGCCGGGGATCATCCAGGCAGCATTTAATTCCATTTTCTCCATCTTTGGACTGATCTGAGATTGTGGTTTGCAGCAAACTCCGATGGGCTCCAAAAACAGGCCAATGTCAAACCATAGCTTTATTCTCAAACTGGGTGAAAACAAGAGTTCATCACAAAGCCACAATCGCGGTTCCAGATCAGGGGTGAAATCCTCTGAAATCTGCTACCAGTTCTGTGAGTCTGCTACCGAGTACGCGCTTCGCTTGAAGCTTTCCAAGTCTGCAAAGGTAAGTAGAACAGCGAGGGGAGGGGGGATCTGCTGTGCCACACGATTTAGATTAGCTAAAAAGCAGGAATTCCGATGATTCTAGCTAATATAAATTGCGCGTCACAGCTGATCGTCACCCAGCTGATCGTCGGAAATACCGGCTCACCGAACCGGTAGCGGTTTTTTTACTATCGGTTCGCCCGAACTGGTCCGAACCGGTAGCATTTCACCCCTGTTCCAGATGCCACCAAGGAGCAACGTTCGGAGAAAGCAGAGACACAATCCTGCCAAAATCTTTCAGGCGTACAGGACAGGACAGGATCTGGGTTGAAGGTCCTTTTGGCAGCTTCTCTCTGTTCATGCAGATCAACCCAACCATGATTTTAGTGGACACAGAACCACGTTTCATACCTTCACGAAAATTTCCTATTCAACAGTCTGCAATCCCAGGGAAGAAAAACCAGAAGATAAATTACTCTCAGCCGGGAAGGGATTAGAACGCTTTTCATACCAGGAGTGGAGTATTCATTATCACTCCTCATTCCTAGGCTGGAAGTTAAAGACATCCAACTGAACGGATAAAGGATTTACAGGAGAAGCTTAGCTATATAATATTAATCTCACGGGGCACCAGTTGGTCAAGTTATTAATCTGGCTCAGTCGGAAAAGCTACACAATACAAAGAACACACACAAACACACAATAGCTTTGGAAAGTCCATGAGTCCAGGTAAGGGGTGGGATCTACCCCCCCCATCAGACCCTCTCAGTTGTTGGGGAGAGTCTGCTGCTGAAGAGCAGAGGGACATTGAGCACAACAGAAAGACCTGGATTTGCAGTGTGTAACTTAAGTTATCTGTCCTTTTTCTGAGGACCAGGTAACATTCTGACGAGTACGAGTGTACACATAGATACAAACAAGGAAAGAAAGAGGGTAAGGCCAAGATCTGGGGTGCTAATGAAGTATTTAATGACTGTAGTTCACCTCGTTAGAAGTCTGGTTTGTGGCTGGAACACACCATGTTATAGTCAAGATACTCTCCCCCCACTTCTCTCTCTCTCTTTCACACACACACTTTTTTCTCTCTCTTTTTTCTCTTTCTCTCTTTCTCTCTCTCTTTCTTTTTTCTCACGCTCTCTCTCTTCCTTCCTCTCTTTCTTTCCCTTTTTTCTCTTTCTCTCTTCCTCTCTTTCTCTTTCTTTTTTCTCACTCTTTCTCTCTCTTCCTTCCTCTCTTTCTTTCCCTTTCTTTTTTTTCTTTCTCTCTTCCTCTGTCTTTTTTCTTTCTCTTTTTTCTCTTTCTCTCTCTTCTTCTGTCTCTTTCTTTCTCTCCCTCTTTCTCTCCCTTTGTCTTTCTTTTTTCTTTCTTTCCCCTTCTTTCTTTTTTCTCTTTCTCTCTTTTTTCTTTCTCTTTTTCTTTCTTCTGTCTTTTCTTTCTTTCTCTCCCTTTGTCTCTTTCTTTCTTTTTTCTCTTTCTCTTTCTTTCTTTTTTCTCTTTCTCTTTTTTTCTTTCTTTTTCTTTTCTTCTGTCTTTTTTCTTTCTCTCCTCTTTCTCTCCCTTTCTCTCTCTCTTTCTTTTTTTCTTTCCCTTCCTTCTCTTTTTTCTTTTCTCTCTTTTTTCTTTCTCTTTTTCTTTCTTCTGTCTCTTTCTTTATCTCCCTCTTTCTCTCCCTTTCTGTCTCCGTCTCTTTCTTTCTCTTTCTCTCTCCCTTTCTTTTTCTTTCTGCCTCTCTTTCTTTCCTTTTCCCTTTTTTCTCTTTTCTTTTCTTCTCTTGTCCCTTTCTTCCTCTCTCTCTTTTTCTCTTTCTCTCTCTTCTGTCTTTCTTTCTTTTTCTCTCCCTTTCTCTTTCTCTTTCTCTCTCTCTCACACATACACACACACACACTTAAAAACTTGCTTTCCACACTGGACTCCTATACAAGGGACACAGGCATGGCCTATGAAGCTTAATCCAGGTTTATACCGTGAAACATACCGTGAACAGTGAGGTTAACGTTGATTTCTGCGACGAGATTGGCATCGTCGGGTGCTACGACCTCACACCTGTAGATCCCCTTGTCAGCCCGGGTGACGTTGTAAATTGTCAGGGACGTCCGGCTGCTGAGCTGGGCCCGGTTTGCCCATTCCCCTAAGGGTGGAGGAGAAGCAGAGGAGGTGGGCAGCCTGAAGACCCCAGTAGTCCTCGACTTACGACCACAATCGAGCCCAACATTTCCACTGCTAAGGGAGACAGTTCTTCAGTGAGTTTTGCCCTGTTTTACGACCTCGTTTTGCCCCACTGCGAATCGCTGCGACTGTTAAGATAAGTCACACAATCGTTAAGTGAAATCTGGTTTCCCCGTTGACTTCGCTCTTCGGAAGGTCACAAAAAGGGGACCGCCGGGACTGCGACCGTCAGAAATACACAAACCAGTTGCCAATTTTGATCTCGTGACCACGCACGAGGCTGCAGCGGTGGTGTGAAAAACGATCGTAAATCCCCCTTTTTTTTCAGGCCCGTCGTAACTTTGGATTGTCACTAAACAAATGGTTGCAGGTCTAGAACTACCTGTACTTTATTCAGTGATTGACTGAGTCAGCGTCTTCATTTCTAATACTCAGCAAAAACAACCCTCCGTGGTTTCTGGATGTCCCTAACAAAGCTCGGGTGATTTTTTAGGCAGGAGTGGAGAAGAAACTCAGTACCAGGTCCCCACCAGCATCCTGTTGTGGCCTGCCAGCGGCCAGCAGAGCTGGTGGCAGATTCAGACAGCGAGGAGGTTGGGGAGGAACATGGGCCAGTCCTGGAGTCTGGGGAAGGCTCTGATGAGGGCTCTGCATCAGTGGCAGAGCGGGGGACACGGCCATCGGACAGTTATCAGCTGCCTTCGGAGTCGGATATCAGTGGGGCAGAAGAACAGCTGCAGCCTGTTCCTGTTGTGACTGAGGCCCACGTAGTGATTACCAAAAAATACTTTGAAAAGCCTCTGACGATCCCAGCTGAGCTGCGCGATCATCAGAGGCTTTTTTTTTGGGTGCGCTTCAAGGTGTTGGTTATCACCTTTAAAGCGCTCCATGGCATAGGGCCTAGCTATCTTCGAGACCGCCTGCTGCCACCGACGATCTCCCATCGACCCGTGCGCTCCCACAGAGAGGGCCTCCTCGGGGTGCCATCAGCCAAACAGTGCAGGCTGGTGACCCCCAGGGGGAGGGCCTTCTCTGTGGGGGCACCTACCCTCTGGAATCAATTGCCTCCAGAGATAAGGAGAATCCAAGACCTCAGTGCCTTCCGCCGTGCCCTTAAAACCTTCCTTTTCCAGCAAGCCGGGCTGGCCTAATTTTTTAAGTGTTTTTAAGTGTTTTGTTTATTGTTTTTAATTAATGGGGCCAAATTTATATATGTATATTTTAACTGTATTTTAATAATTGTACTTGATGTTTTTACTTGGCTGTTCACCGCCCTGAGTCCTCAGGGAGAAGGGCGGTATACAAATTCAAAATAAAATTAAAAAAAATAAAAAATAAAAGCATTTTTTCGTTGGAAGAGGTTGTAGAAAAAATGCTTTTGAAAGTAAAAAAAAAAAAAAGACTCTGATGATCGTGCGGCTCAGCTGCGCATGGGGGTGGGGAGCGCAGGGATTTTTGCTACCGGTTCTTCAAACCACCCGCCGCCATCGCTACCGGATCAGGCGATCCGGTCCGAACCAGGAGCATTTCACCCCTGAAATGAGGTTCTGATGCGCCAAAGAAAGATCCCCCCAACAGCTTCCTACCTTGCACCTTGCCATCAAAATACACGTAGGTGGTGCCTTGGCTGCCGATTTTCTTCCATTCGATTCGAGGGTTTGCTGTTTTGGTGGCAGTGATAATGCAGGACAGTTCAGCCTCTGCAAAGACACATACAACAGACGTCACAAAGCGAAGGGGAGATAGATTTTTCAACCCACGTGGCTTTCAGCCAACGTGGCTGTGGGCTGGTAAAAAGGGTGCCAAGCCAGACACCGGCTAGGATACGGTAGTGCTCTCCCCACACTTACGTCGAAATTCTTCCACCACCGGATTGATATTTTTAGAGATCAGGTCTATCGCCAGGACTCTGTAGCCTAGGAAGCAAACGAGAGGCAGGTTAAGAAACATGAAAGGCTTCTCAACGGTTAAACACATTTAAACTAAATCAGGTCAGGTCGGAGCTAGGCTGGCCACGAGGCTCCATTTAATAGGAAATTAAGTGGAAAGTGTACCACCCGGTGATCGTTTTTGTCCTCACTAAACGTTCTTACTACAATTGGCGAGAACTGCATTGCTTCTGACAGGATATATGGCCATGGTGGCGCAGTAGTTAGAATGCAGCGCTGAAGATGATTTCCGCCGTTCGGCAGTTCGATGCCGTATCCCTCCCTCTCTGTTGAGAGAAGGCTGTTCAATATGGAATGGAATGGAATGGAATGGAATGGAATGGAATGGAATGGAATAGAATAGAATAATGAAATAAGAATAGAATAGAATAGAATAGAATAGAATAGAATAGAATAGAATAATGAAATTAGAATAGAATATATATTGGAATGAAGAATAGAACAGAATAGAATAGAAATTGGAATAATAGAATAGAATAGAATAGATATTGGAAAGAATAGAATAGAATAGAATAGAATAGAATAGAATAGAATAGAATAGAATAGAATAGAATAGAATAGAATAGAATAGAATAGATATTGGAATGAAGAATAGAATAGAATAGAATAGAATAGAATAGAATAGAATAGAATAGAATAGATATTGGAATAATAGAATAGAATAGAATAGAATAGAATAGATATTGGAAAGATTAGAATAGAATAGAATAGAATAGAATAGAATAGAATAGAATAGAATAGAATAGAATTCTTTTATTGGCCAAGTGTGATTGGACACAAAAGGAATTTGTCTTCGGTGCATAAGCTCTCAGTATACATAAAAAATACATTCATCAAGAATCACAAAATACAACACTTAGTGATAGTCATAGGATACGAAATAAGCAATCAAAATCACACTAGGAAATTAAATAAAACAATATAAATCTTAAAGATACAAACAACAAGGTTATAGTCATTAAGTAGGAGGAGATAGTAAATAAGAAGGATGAGAAGATGAATAGTAATACAGTTTTAGTAAATAGTTTGACAGTGTTGTAGGAATTAGTTGTTTAGCAGAGTGACGGCATGTGGGAAAAAAAACTTTCCTTGTGTCTAGTTGTTTGGATAATTTGGACATGGCCTCTTGGACCCTTCTTTCAGACCAGCGATCCTCTCCGTCCGAAATATGGATTTTGTCGCCTTGCAAAAAGAGTGGCCTGTGTCTTTTAAACCATGGTTTCTGCACGATGAGCCAGCCCTGCCACAAGAGTTCTTCCACGATCCTCTAAAATTAGATAACCTGCGAGTCCCGTCCTGTCCCCCCTCCCCCCCCAACTCGACTGCCGGAGGTGCCACTGTTAATCAGGATAATCGCCAGGGTGTAACCCCGGCTGTCTGGAGGCACGCAGGTAACAACGCCGGTAAACAGCCTGAGTTACACTCTTGCGGCTGCAGCTTTTTTTTAAGCCGAAAGAAGAAGATCAGCAATTTGCATTGTCTTAATTTTTTTTTTCATTAGCCTCTTTCTCGTGGCCAAGTCCCCGTTCTCCTGCCCTCCTTCCTTGCCCCCCACCCTTCTCTAGCTCTGACGGAGCTGCTGGCAGAAGCCAGGAAAGACGGAGCAGATGGCAAAGATTAGGGACAGGAAATTCTACCATCGGAACAGACAAAGGGTTTTTCCGCATGTGTTTCCCTGTGTTTGTGTGCGCCAGAGTGTGCAACTCGATGTGAACACGTCATTTCTCTGCCCTTTCTTTGGGATACGCTCTGGACGGAATGGGACAACTTGCTACAGCCAAGTCTCCACAGTCAACTCAACAACGATCAATTCGTCACGGACAACTCACCACAGTCAACTGGCCGTAGAACAATCGATCAATTCAACTTAATCACTTAGAATAAATTTAAAAAATTGTTTTAATTTTTTGTCATTCAGATTTCCCTTTGTCCCTCCTTTGGCATCCTTTCTTTAATTATTCTATCCCACCATTTCTTTAATATCAGTGTAACTCTTTTCCCGCAGGGAGCTGGCTGTGGCGAATTGACCCTTGTGAGTTGATCGTGGCGAATTGGCCATGGTGAGTTGGCCGTGGCGAATTGGCCATGGTGAGTTGACCGTGTCGAATTGACTCTTGTGAGTTGGCCATGGTGAATTGACTATTGAGAGTTGGCCATGATGAGTTGGCCATTGAGAGTTGGCCATGACGAGTTGGCCATTGAGAGTTGGCCATGTTGAATTGACTCTTGTGAGTTGGCCATGGCGAATTGACTCTTCTGTGTTGGTCATGACAAACTGGCCGTTGTGAGTTGGCCATGGTGAATTGACCATTGTGAGTTGGCCATGGCGAATTGACCAGAGTTGGCCATGACGAGTTGGCCATAGCAAATTGACTGTTGTCGAGTTGGCCATGGTGAATTGACTCTTGTGAGTTGGCCGTGGCGAATTGACCGCTGAGAGTTGGCCATGATGAGTTGGCCATAGCAAATTGACTGTTGTCGAGTTGGCCATGGTGAATTGACTCTTGTGAGTTGGCCAGGGCGAATTGACTCTTCTGAGTTGGTCATGACGAACTGGCCGTTGTGAGTTGGCCATGGTGAATTGACCATTGTGAGTTGGCCGTGGCGAATTGACCATTGAGAGTTGGCCATGACCAGTTGGCCATAGCAAATTGACTGTAATCGAGTTGGCCATGGTGAATTGACTATTGTGAGTTGGCCATGGCGAATTGTCATAGACCCACGCTGGAGCGTTCAGCCCAAGAGGTGGAATCCGGAGGACAACACCTCTTTTCTTACCTACATACCCATCCTCACCAACATGTACCGGTAGCCCTCGACTTACAACATTTCGTTTTGCGACTTATGACCACTTTTCACGCTTACAACCTTTGCAGCATCCCCCCCACGGTCTTGCGATCGAAACTCAAGATGCTTGGCAACAGACTGGCATTTGTGATGGTTGCATTGTCTCCGGGGTCATGAGATTTACCATTTGTGACCTTCTGACGAGCAAAGACAATGGGGGAAAACCCATTGGAGAGAAGATGGCGACAAATGTGGAAAACATTGTAAGTGAAGAAAATTAAAAATAAAGGGACGATAAAGATCATGATAATAAAGGATGGGGGAAATGGGGAATGCATATAGTAGAAAGTAAGAGGAACGAAACTGATATGTAAAAAGAAACACGTATCACGTGTTTGTGTTTTGTATGTTGTGTTGTGTTGCTGCTGTAAAATCAATAAAAATAAATAAATAAAAAATACTCCTTGACATACAACCATAACTGAGCCAAGAGTTTGGTCATAAGTTGTGATAGTTGTAAAGCAGGTCACCCTATGTTAGGATGCGATTTTACAATGTTTTTTTTTTTTTTTTGCATCAATCACTTTTTTCGCCCCCCTGTGCTATTCTAACTTCAAACGGCCACTAAACAAACGGTCGTAAGTCCAAGGTTACCTCTATAGGGGTGAACTTGAATCTATTTCTGGCTTCCCTAAACTGGGAAAGGATCCAAAAGGTGCTATTTGTGTATGATTTGACTCCGAAGGGTCAAAAGAATTGGAAGTTTTAACTGGCACTTTTCAGGGCTAATATAAATCCTCCAACATGCCAAAATGCAAGAAAGGAAGAACTTTTGGTCCAAGAACAATAATTGTCAGCGTTTAGCAACTTCGAACTGCATTCCAAGGAATCATGAAAAGGATTCTATATTTTTGCGGTCTATATTTTTTAGCCAGCAACCTTCACTTCACCTGGTAGCAGGGGTGAAGTGTAAAATCTGTTACTACCGGTTCTGTGGGCGTGGCTTGGTGGGGGGGGTAATGTGACTGGGTGGGCGTTGCCAACTTTTTTTAAAAAAAAACTTTTCAAAGAATTTTTTCTAATGCTTTGAAAAGCCTCTGCCGATCAGGCAACTCAACTGAGATTTATTATTATTTATTTATTTATTATTCAAATTTCTATACCGCCCTTCTCCTTTCGGACTCAGGGTGGTGAACAGCCAAAATAAAACATTTATACATAAAGTACGATTAAAAATAGATTTAAAATAATTAAATTTGGCCCATAGTTTAAAATTTATCAATTTAAAATCCATTGTCAGAGACTTTTCAAAGTATTTTTCTTATCACCTCTTCGGCCAAGAGGTTGCAGGAAAAAATGCTTTGAAAAGCCTCTGAGGAACTTTTAAAAGCATTTTTTTTTGTCGGAAGAGGTTGTAGAAAAAATGCTTTTAAAAGTCAAAAAAAAAAAAAAAGCCTCTGATGATCGTGCGGCTCAGCTGGGCATGGTGGGGCAGCGCAGGGATTTTTGCTACCGGTTCTCCGAACCACCCGCCTCCATCGCTACCGAATCGAGCGATCCGGTCCGAACCGGGAGCATTTCACCCCTGCCTGGTAGTCTTCTTACTTCTCCATTACTGCAGGAAGTCCTCGATTTACGGCCACAACTGTGCCCGATTTTTCTAAGCGTTGCTAAGCGAGACAGTTGTTGCGTGAGCTTTGCTCAATCTTTTGAGAGATTTTATGACCTTTCTTTCCCCAGGTGCTAAATGAATCACTGCGGGTTAAGTTATTATTCATTTAGGAAATGTGCCGTACTTTTCGGAGTATAAGACACACTTTTCCCGCCCCCTGAAAGAGGGTGGAAATGTTGATGCGTCTTATACACCGAATACAGCCATTTTTGGCCTCCCAAAACCCCGCCCCACACGTCCCATTTTCGCCAAAAACAGGCCCGTTTTTCGCAAAAACTGGGCCTGCAGAGGGTTTGGGAGGCCTGCAGAGTGCTCCTGCGGGGTTCTATTTCTCTCTGTGGGCACAATGAGAATTTATCTGCCGGATAAAATTCCGCACTGGCGACTGGAAAGGCATCCGGCCATTCAAACACTCTGCTAGCTCCATTCAGTTGCCCAGACTCCACCCCGCAAGGGATTCTGGGGTCCTTAAAAGGAGATGATGATTGATAGCTCTTTATAGAAATGG